CAGGGCCTGGCTTGGCGCGGGGCTCCGTGAGCCCGACGGGGCCCGGGGGCTTGGTTTGTGCTTGTATGTGTCGTGACGGCGTAGGGAGAGTCGGGCAGAGGAGCGTGGTGCGGCCCCGCAGTGCCGGCTACGCCCGCACCTGGTTGCGGCGGAAGGCAGGAAAAGGCGAAGAAGTGCCCGAGCGAGGGGGAGGGATCCCGGCTTCAAACCCATCTCTGTGCTTTGCTGGCAGCATCCCGTAACGTCAGGGGAGAGCGTCAAGCGCCGCGGGTTGAGAGAGGCTTACATAAATGAGCCCTCTATTGAAATGAAGATATGAGACATATCCTCGGGTGTGCAGGCTATTTATAGCAGCTTGCTCGTGATGCTCGCCATTCCCCTGGCACTGGATATGGGAACTGTGCATAAACAACTGCCCTTTTATTAACTCCAGAGGCCTGGACTCTAATGCTTGGATGATAGATCTTGGTGGATTATCATGTTGACATCTCTGCTGTGGAAGGAAAGTCCACCAGCACCTTTTATTACTGGGTCAGCTTCCTAACTCATTTCTTCCCAGCAATGAGCCACTTGTCAGGAATGGCAGAACATTTTCCATTGCAAACTCAAACTGATCCCTTGGCTGATGCGCCCTTATTTTAATGGTGCTATGAGGATTTACAGCAATAGCGGGTCCCTAATTTTTCATTTAGTCTTTTCCCATGGCGTTGCACACCCTTTTTCTGTTTGCTGACATGCAATACTTCCTTTGCTTTTGCTCTCCCTTAGTGCTTCCCCCAGTCAGACCTCCTGTAGTCCACCTCCATATTCAATCCAGAATACACCTTACTCAGGGCAGAAGAGAGAACTGCAAAACAAGAGCCCTGGTGAAGAACTGATACTTTTACCTTCAGGTGCTTGTTTCTGTGCTTTCACATACATTAGCCCTCACTTGAGCTAGCAGTCATAGGAAACTACAGGAGTTACTCTGAAACTGCCCTGATAGATCTAATTCTGTCTTGAGGGCATTAGGGGTACCTTAAATGACCTCTCAGGATCCCTTACAGCCTTATGTAGTTATCTTGCATTACCTTGCTCTGTTAACCCCATCATATTTATGGGCACAAAAGACAGGGTAACAACTCATACCAAACAAAAAAGGACAGTGAAAAGTTACAGACCAGGCACCTGAGCTTTCTCCTTTCTGTTTCCAGTGAGCTCTTCCTTGCACTGTAGATAGCCCACCCTTGGATGTCTGCATCCACCTCCCTGCAGAGCAAGCAGGGATGCTGTCAATATGCTTCAAAGCAGCCTGTGCCCCAAATAGCACGTGTCCCGAAGGCACACTTAGCTGAGAACATTAGTGCATTCATACCAAGAACATCACCCAGCCTCTCCCAGCGTGCTCTCTTCCTCGCAGACTTGATAGAGAAATCACAAAAGCAGTCACGCAGCCTATCCTTACATCTGGTCTTGTTTGCTTTCCCTGGGCTTTGTATTAATTTGGACACAGGAGTTTCTTGATAGAAAATGACAAATGACAAGCGCTGGAGGTATGATGTGCTGTTCATGATAATCACCCATTGAAAGCTAATGGCACTTCTGTGCTTCCACTCCAGTGATTCATTAAGAAGTTGGAGTAGCCACTGCCTGGGAAAAGGCCTGATTTGGACACTTCTTTCCTTTCTACTTTGTTAAAGTGAAGTTAAAACATTCTGCTTGGAGCTTAACAGACATGGCTTTATTACTTGCTATTTCTTTTCTGTAAGGTTTGAGGTTAAAAGAAGAAATTGTTGGAAAATATGAATTAATGAGGAGACATCCCTTTGCCTTTTGTTGGTTTGGTCTTCATCAGAACAGCTTCAATTAAGAAGATCCTCTTGATTTCAAACCAACCCATTGAGAACTGAAGGGGCTTTGAGCTGTTTCTTGATAGAGCTCTGCATCTAAAAGTAGTTTGTGAATGGTCCAGATACCTCAACTTCCAGTGCCATCTTTTAAAGAGTTAAAACGCTTGTTCAGGATGGGCATGAGCTTTCAAAACCCTGTCAAGTATACTCTGGATACTGCAGGTGGATCATCACCTTCCTTTGTGTCCCTTGTGCTCTCTGCATTGTAAAACAGAGCACTCGGTGCAGGGGATGTGCAGCTAGTTACAGCAGCAGAGCCTAGGCAAGCACCTGGAATGCTTGCCTGGGTCTGAACTGGTGAAGCACAGTGGGCAAATGTCCTTGGTAGAAATTTTTTTTCATCTTCTCAGTGCTACTAATATAGTTTTAAGCCAAAAGTGTCTAAATCACAGGGAAAATATTTAGTTGTTTCATGCAGGCTCAGCGCCTTGGGAACTGCATTTGGATGGTGTCTTGCAAAGAAAGTGAGAAACATCTTGCAGTTTGTGGAAGAGCTCAGTAGAGTACATTTTCAGAGCTGCCCAATAAAATTTGGGTGAGGGGAGTCCTGGGACATTGGCGGGACATCCTGGGTCTGTGTTGCTGCATTCAGGCTGTTTTACACCCCTTTTGTGGTGGGGCGGCAATGCTGAGAGGCATTCAGAGGTGAGAGGCAGCTGTGCCTGGTTCCAGCACTCATACTGCAGCGGCACAGGAGCTGGTTGGTTGCCCTCCCTCCTGTCTGCAGAGAGCTGTGCAGGGTTCCCAAAATATCTTGCTGCTGCTGGCAGTGGGGCAAGCATGGAAATCGAACAGATGTGTTCAACTTGCAGCACTAGAGCTGGTTCCCTTGGTGCAGTGCAGACGGGTTTTTACGAGAGAACCCAAGTTTTTCAGGGGAGAGCAGGCATCTCCTGCCTGGTCCTCTTGTATTTGGGACATTCTCCCTATTTGCTTCACCAGACAACAGCAGAAGCTAAGAGGTTCTTGCTCTGTGGTTGATACATCCTTGTCCAGCTGTTTCTAAGCTGAGTTCTATATTGAGTAATTAAACAGGAGCATCTACCCCAGATAATCGGAAAATCAGGAGTTGTGTCCTGAAGATTGTGGAACTTAAAATACAAAGAAGTACTGCTGATGTTCGTTGTGCATGTTGCATCTATTTGCTTACTGGTTTTTGAGCCATAGAGGTTTATGGCTTCAAGCTTCATCTCATACCACTGAGGGCTAGAAACTTGCTTTGTTTTTTTAAAGCACTGAAGACAGACATGCAGGTAGCTGACTCCAGGAGGTGGGAACTGAAAGGAATTGACCGTCCTACAACCTTCTGGTGAACCATGAGTGTTGCAGGACCATGATGTCCCCTTTCTTGACAGTCAGCCTGTACAAGTGAGATTCCTTCCCCACAGCCTCACATCGCAGCCTTTGCTGTACCAAGCTTTAGTTCTCCCCTTTACAAATTTAGGGCCTAGGGGGACATTCATCCCACCTGTGTTTTCATGACACTTGAACAGCGTTTGTGTTGTTTATACATCAGGGACACATCCTCTGTGTGGGGCAGTGCCCGTGTCCCATGCATGGCAGGAGGAGCCCGTGGAGTGGCCATCACAGTGTGGGTGCACCCATGGGTGCTTCTGCCCATTCTCGCCCCTCACCTCTCCCACAGCCTCCCAAGTGACACCTTCTCAAAAAATGTTCTCTGCCCAGCACTGAGCTCCCAGTGCCCCTGCAAAAACATATTCCCTTATGCTTGTGGGAAATCTGCAGGATCAGGTCCCTTGGTGGGACATGGGTCTGAAATCTCTGTCCTGCACATGGTGAATACGTGCCGGATGGTAGCACATTTTTAAATAATTTGCTGCACTCTAATCTCCAGCTCACAGGAGCTGAGTAAATTGATCCTATACTTTCTAAGCTAAGCTTAATCTTTCATTGTCCAGCCAGCGGAGCTCACAGAACTGCAAGCTCCATTTTTACTGTGGACAATTGCAAGCACCAAAAGCAGGAATCACTGTCAGTAGAAAGGGCAGGTATTATGGGTTTCCCTTTTGCCATTTTGATCTAGATGACATCATAAAACGCCACAGGAAAGAGCAGGCAGATGCCAGCACCATGGGGGACAGGCGAAGGCAGCAGGTCAAGAACAGGAATTCGGCGTATGGGTACGGGCGGCCCCGTTTCCGCACCTGGATGCAGAGGAATTTGCAAGGTAGGTGAGTGCCTTGGGACGGTGGAGGCCTGCCAAGCTGGAAAACACATTTGTGTAACAAAATACAGCTCTTAAATCCTTCCCCTATCTAATTCCTGTGTGTGTATAAGATGTACTTGGGCTCTGAATAGCTTTTCTGTCTGCGACAATGGAATATCAGGGCCTTTTCAGAGCATAAATTAATCCATTTCTCTCCCTTCCACCCTCTCATGAATTACTAATTCAAAGTGACTTAATATCTATTCTCTATTCCCTTTTGGCTTTGCAAATTTTAATTATGCCTCTTCCTAATCCTCTTTTTCCCAGAACACACTTAAATTACCCCTTCAGTAACTGTCTTTGATAGCTCAGTTATTGGAGCTAATTTGTCACTTTTGCCAACCATGCTATTTTTATGATGAGTTTTTTTATAATACCGAGTGATCACACACTCATCTGTGTTTGGTTCCTCTAGCTTTTATCTACAAAACTAAAGTGATCTGCTGCATGAAATGCCATCTCTATCAACATTTTGCTTTCTCTTTTAAATTACTGCTAAATCACTTCATTGAAGATTTTAGTGACATTTTGCAGCACTGTCTTTGCAGTCTTCCCTTGGAGTGCCCATGGCACATCAGGACAGTGGGATTGCTGGAAGCAGTCCTGCTGGTCTCCAATCTGCCTCCCACTCACATGTTCTTGGTCTCCACCACATATTGTCTTACCAAGAATCGTTCTAATTCAAACCAGAATGATGATGATTGCCATTTGCAAATTGATTTTTCTGTCAAGAACACAGGCTTTGATATTCTTCCACACTCAAGCAACTATGGCATACAGAGTCAAATAAATCAAACAAAATTTTTGTTAACTATTCCTTAGATAGGAGAACTTTTCTGTTCATTTATAGAATTATTTCTGCTAGTCTTAGTATATCATAGGTTTTGAGTCTGAATTCAGCCCTGCCAAGTGCAGGGACCCACCATGCTGTGTGGTGCTGATGTCAGTAGCAATTTTGGGAAGCTCAGCACAACTGGGAATTTAGCCCATAATTCTTCAGGGGCTCATTTCACTTCAGTCCCTGCTGAAATTCAGTCCCTTCTGGGCTGAGCCGTGATAACCATTATCAAAATGACGATCAAAACAGCCCAGCACTGTAATGACAGAGGATGGAGAAGGGTATTATGCTGATTAAACCAGCAAGAGAATTTGTGCAAGCGAAATGCTGTTATCCCACCTGGAATATGGCTTAAACCATCTCCCCAGTGGGGGAAAGATAGTTTTTAATGACAAGAAATTTGAATTTCAAATCTCCTCAGAAAAAAAGTCTGTCAGACATCGGGGCTTCTCCCCAAACTGGACTGCTGGGCAGAGGTGCCTCTTGGCCAACCCGGGTGGATTCAGCACCAGGCTCTGGGTGTGCACCCAGACATGGAGCAGGTTTTCCCCAGCTCCTGATGCTGTGGGGTTTTATTCAAATGTTCTTTCATTAATAAATATCTGCCAGACTTTTTGCAGAGACGGAGCCTCCCATGTGTCACACTTCAGGATACACATGACAGACCGAGGCCTGTCCCCAGCTGGTGAACATGCGGTACCCCTCGGAGGCTGATGGCTCCGTCATTAGTTATTTACACTGGCTGAGGCGTGCCTGAGTGCACCGCTGAGCAGAGGCTCTCTAATAGGAACTGACTGACAAGGCCGTGATTTTTCTAGTCAGGGCTGCCTTTTGCATCAGTCCCTCCCATCGCACCGATGAAATACCCAGGAAAGGCCTGAGCTCAGTCTGTCTTGCTGCAGAGGAGATGCCCTCTCTGGGGTGCAGGAGAGCTGTGTTGCAAGGCTTGGCGGCCTGTGGGAGAGCGGTCTGGCAAACAGGCAAGGTAGAGGGGCAAGCACAGGGTGGTTGTTGAGGGGAACGAGGAAGGGAAAAACAAACTGTGGGAACAGAACCAGGAGGAAAAAAAGGGCCATTAAACACAGCGAGACCACACCTGATCAAAAAGACACAAATTGCCAAAATTCAAGTGTTTGTTGGGAGAGGAAGATTTATACACCTGCACTTCTGTGGTGAGAGGGCACCATTTGCGAAGAAAATAACTACTGGCCCCACAGAGCTTGTGAAGAGCATTGCATTTTTGTGAGTATTCCCAACCAGCACCTCTGGCTGTAGGGAGCAAAGCACCCCGATGTGCTGTTCGGGTGATGCTTCCCACGGGCATGCCCTGGTGCTCTTTTGGTTTAAAGCCAGAGCAGCTCAAATCATCTTCACTTGTATTCCACTGTAACCAGCCCGTGCTGGCGCCGACCAGTGTTACACTCAGCGGCGGAAGCCTTCATTAATCACTGTGGTGGTGGCCCCTGACAGCAGCGTCACCACTGCCTCAGAACACTTCATTTCTAATTGCTCTGAGTCATTATAAATTGCTGTGATGTAGGAATCAATGGTATAGGGTCAATACATGTGTCTAACTGCTCTGTGGTTTGTATCAGTGAGGTTCTGCTATATGGTGCAGGGTTTAACCACACTCTTGCTGTCCTCTACCATGTGCTGCTTTATGCCTGATTTGTGCACCCGTCTGAGTATGTGTGCACATTTTACTGGTATAGTGACTTGGAAAATGTCTACTTCATTATGACTGCAGAAGTTTATCATGTAGAGTAATTAGGCTTTAATGCACTGTGCCTCCGTATGACAGAGTGCTTTCCTCTCCCCCAACACTTTGGCACTCTTCAAAATCATAAACAGGCTTAGGGGAAAATGTTAAATGCAAGATGGGCTGTTGGTGTGTATGTACTGTAGAGTTACATAAAACAGCAGCAGGAGGTGCCCCTTTCAATATGGGTAGTAAGTAAGGATATGTCAAGCTAAAAAAAAAAAGAAGTAAAAAATATCTAAAAATTATGGTCCAGTCTAGTGCTATATCAAGTGCTATAATGTGGCACTCAGAGCTATTCCAGGCTGCTGTGAGGTTGGCTCCCAGATGCTCAAGTCACTTGCCTACCTGTATCAAAAGGCATTTTCCATTTCACAGTTAATTCACGGCAATGTGAGCTCTGACAACAGATTGACAGGTTTCCTGATGTGAGTGTTCCTGCCTTTATTAGGAATCTGTATTGCGGAAGGCTTTTCTCTTCTATACTCTTTTAAATCAAATACTGTGTTTGTCAGTCCTACATGTAATAAGAATGTTAGTGAAACATTGGAAATATAAATTATTTAATAGTCTGCAAAATTAATTTAATTTTCTGGAATAAATTAATGTGATTCTTGCATCACTATGTATATAGATACTCCTATATCATATTAAGTTAACCTGTAATCCATTCATAATCATAAATCGAGTTTTGAAGGATGCTAAAATAAGGGTTTATTTTCGTAGGACCTAACCGTTTTAGAAGAGGGTTTGGACAACAACAGTACAATCGGAGACAATTCAGGAATATGGTGCCTGGTCCCAGGAGAAGAGCAGCTGCCGCATTAAATGGAGTGAGCCCTTTAAATCGCCAGGCATCATCTCAAGAGGTAAGGGGGTAAGGAAGGTAAAGCTGTTCCCAAATGTCATGTAGAAATCTACTGGATTTTATGATCCTGGATCACCTCAAAGAACAATCCACATAAAAAATCTACAGGCACCATCTTTTATATGCCTGTGCACACCATTTGTATGCATAGGTGAGTACAGACACATATACATATAAAATAGCAATTTTCCAGTTGGTTATATAAGCTTATGACTTGGCATAATTTTAGTGAATCTATTCCCATGGATTTTGCAAAAAAGATTTTTTTAAAATGTGTTCTTAAAAGATTTTAAAATATTTCCATAAAAACAAATTCCATGTCATCTTATGTTACTATTACCATTTAGAGGAGGTATGTTAAGATTCACCATTGTTTGTCCTCCACCCAGAGCATTTTCCAAGGTCCAGTGAAGTCAAAGTACAGACTGTTGTTGACTTCAGGTGGCTTTAGCTCAGAGACACACTTTTCACTAGCAAGTGGTTATCCCTCACAGAGACACTGATTCCCAGTACTGTGACAGCCATGGGTCAGGTCGCCCACGTGCTTCAGTGTAAAATGCTTTTTTTTTTTTCATTCATGGCTTTCTCTTTTTCAAATTTAAATGTTTAGGTCTTGTCTCTGCTCAAAAACACTTTTAAAAAAAATTTAAATATTTTCATTTGGGTTTTGAGTTATTTTTAAGACTCAAGAGACGGGCAGGAAGGTACGTGTTCACCATTAAAGTAATTCTTACAGCTTTCTTTTGAGTGTCACTAATATTAAACTGGCCTTGTGTAGAAGGTAGAAATCAAGTGGGTAGATAGTCCTCTGTGAGAGGGGGTTGTTTTTTTCTGCACTGATGGAAATCCACTCAATTAGGAGGTCATGTATGCTCAGTAAGCTTTTAAAAAATACCAAAGTGGTGAACATGATTGCACATTTAATGGCGGTGTTCTGGGGGTATAAATAAGAGAGCCCTAAGCTGAGCATGCATGTGCATGGAGTGTGGTTATTCCTGAAAATAGAGACTGTGATGACTCAGACATTGAGTGTGGCTGGGTATTAACAGAAAGTAATAAGCAGTTGCTAGGAGGCATAATTCTACAGTAGCTTCCATTTTGCAGAAATAAACCAAGTGGGAAGAATGTGGAAAAACATCTCAGTTAGTGGGTAGTAACAGTGATGGTGGTTGTCCCACAGAAATAAATGGGATAGAGTCTGTGAGAGTTTGTATAAGTAACTGCAGGAGGACCTACACTGCTGAGGGATCTTCTGATGAGCTTCATGCTTCAGGGCTTGGACCAGGCAACGTACGTGTCCAAACAAGAAAGAGTCAATGACCGAAAAGAGACCTGAGCAAAGCTATAATACATGGCTTGTGTGAGATTTGCTCTCCATGGAGTAATTTTTTTTTGGTATTTCTGCACCATTAGAATGAAACATTCTTCCTGGTACTTGTAGTTTCATGCCCACGAACTGAGGCACACGTACTGATTGTTGACTACAGTGTATGCTAAGTGCAAATGTTGAGACTACAGCAACACTACTTGGTAGACATATTCTTGCCGTAGATACGGAAAACCATGGAAGAGACGAGGTTTTAATAGATTTAGTGAGGAATAAGTTTCCCATCAAGAAAATATCAAAGGAGAAAAAAAAAAGCATTTCCAGAGCAGTGTTGTTCTGTTGCAAGACTGCAGAAGTTGCAAAGGAAAAATACTTGGGAATGAGAATACGGGGAATGGAGAGCACGCAGCATGGGGCTGAGCCCCCTTTGAAGCAATTGCAAGTGGTGCTGAACGTGTCTGAGAGCAGCGAGGGAGCTGCTGCAGTGTCAGCAATCACCACCTGCACTTTGGAGCAGGCTGGATTTCCTTCTCCTGGAGTCTAGGCTCCCCTAGATGAAGCCAAGAAAATGCCAAATAAATGCACTGGCTTTTCAGGCAGCGACAGCCGGCAGAGGGAAGGACAGTTGTGTGCTGTCGCTCGCGCTCGCTTCTTCTCCATGCAGCGAAGATTGCGGCACAGGTGGCAACTGCTGAGCTCTTGCTGTTCTTTCAGGGCAACAAGAACAACGAGGCTTTCACCAAAAGCAGCAACAGCAGGCAGCTGGAGGGACGGCAACAGCCACCCCCAGGCCCCAAGAAATTCCGAGCAGCTGCTACCAGCACCCATGCCCCAGGGAGAAGGTAAAATCTTTTTTAACTCTGGGCTTTTTTTCATTTTCAGTGATTCCCTGTGCAGCTCGTGGGGCTCTGCTCTCAGTCAGTGCCAGCTGGGAGTGGCTACAGCCGTGTGCTCACGCAACGTGAGAAAAATACCCCTGGGTATGTTAGGAAAGCACCTATTTATTTTGAAAATAAAACAACCTCATGCTGACAGTTAATAATTCAGATATTAGATCTGTTGTTCTATTTTAGAAAGCACGGAAAATGTGACCTGTGACCTTTGTATTTTTATTAAACTTTTCCTCTGTCACTTTTGGGAAAATTCTTGAAGGCTAAAATAGCATTGTTTTTCATAAAGGCAGGAAATACAGATTCCAGCCATAAGGGATAGGCAGGGAGAGGGAGTTTGTCCCAGTGAGGGGCTGCAGGAGCAGACGCTGCGCCCCAGGAGCTGTGACGAAGGCAGGCTGCCGGGCGCTGGGTGCAGTCTCACTGCCTGTCTCATTGTGGTCCTTGTGTTCTCTGAGCTCCAAAGGAAGCTCTGTTGCAATCCCATCTTTCCTTGCTCTGAGTAGAGCAGGGACTAAATGACCTCCAGAGGTCCCTTCTGATCAGATTTTTTCTACAGTTTTCTTCCATGATTTTTTTTTTTTTTAATGAGCAGAGTTCAGAACAAACACAAGCTGTTTTTTCATTTGAGCAGAAAAACAAGTTCCTCTGAAGTCCTTTGCTGGCAGAAAAACCTGTTGGGCTGAACTTGGTAACACACAGCCTCTTTTGCTTCTCATACTGTTTTTTAATACCACACTTAGGTACCTATTTCAGGATTAAACTTTAGGAGAGACCTGGCATCATAATCACCTATGTCCTTTTCTCTCTTCTCCTTTACCAGCAGGCCTTTCCTGCTAAACAGGGGACCAGCCTTCCAGCAGAAGCGGATGATGCAGCAGTGGTTCTCCAAAGCCAACTTTCAGAGAGGGGTCAGTATTGAGACATTTTCTCTGCAACCTGCTAATGGTGACGAGCCTTCAATTTTACCAGCCTTTGCCCAGTTGTGTCTTTGCTTCCAAAAGTAACTGGGAGAGATAGATGACTCTAACAATGAACATATTCCTAGGAAAGTATTTGCAGGACAGGTAATTTTTCATGCAGCTTAATATTCTGGCAGCTGGTAAATAAAACCCAGGCAGGTGATAAAAGTAAAGCTTGCAGCTTATACAGCAGCACAAGCAGGGCAAAGTAAAGCCACCCCATACAGATCACTGTGCCAGCAGGAAACCCAAAATTAGCAAATTTCTCGATAACAGGCAAAGCTATTCAGATACACCAAATGAAGTACTGGAAAAGGAATCATTGTTTCTGAGAGCTAATTCTATAATTCATTTTTAAAAAAATGTATTTCACAGCAGATGGATGCTAATGGAGAAGGGAAACCACCAAGGATGAGAAGGTAATTGGTGAACAAAGGCACGCTGCAAACACGACGTGCTCTTTCACGGTTGAATCGCAGCTGGATACATCTCCCTGTCTTGACAGGTGGCAAGTGAAACCCAGCCCCGGAGCAGTTCTGACAGTTTCTGTGGCTAATCCCCAGGCAGGCCAGACTGGCATGTAAGTAAATGAGGTGATTTGTTAGGATGGGAGCCCTACAAAAGCCATTGCAAATCCCTTTAACATTATTGCAGCTTCACTTCTTCTATAACGAGTGTGCAATGAATGGTCCAGACCCAAAATGGTTAGCGAATGATGTCTCATTCCCTTCTCAGCATATCTGAAAGGAAACAGTAATTACCGTGTGGCTCGTTTGTTATCCAGAGTAAGGAGAAATGGAAATGCCAGCAGCATGTGGGAGAAACGCTGCGTGCCCCACAGGGACACTGCACACTTGCTGTGTAAGAGGAACGCAGAGGCTGGAAGGCAGCAGCTTCACCCCTGGGCTGAGCTGGTGCAGCTGCAGGACCCGGCACCCAGCTAGTGGCAGAAAGAAGGGCACTTGGCATGTCCTGGGTGCAGAGAGCACCCCATGATAGCCTTAACGTGACACATTCCCCAGTGCTGGAACTCTGCCTGCAGAGCAGCTCTTCTGGCACCCTTTAGACTTCCTCACGCTGCCATGAGACATGCCATGGGACATATGGGACACAGAGTTTCTCCTTTACTCCTTGCTGGTTTGCAGATGATAGGAAGTGAGCTGCTTTCGCATCCTGAGTGACTGCAGATCTGTGCTTTCCCCAGGCCCGGATCCAAGCGCCCGTTCCTGCGAAGCCAGAGGCCCCCACCACGGTCCACCAAGCCCCAGCCCAAGGGGGTGCTGCTGAGATTCAATTTCCGTGCGATGGCCAACCAGGTAGAGGATTGTCGACGGGACAGGCGGTGCCTTGCACCCTGCAGCAGCCCTGCCACTAAGCTGTTAATGTCACGCTCAGGTTTTTGGGTCTGCCAGTTGGGTTTATCTAGCATAACCCAGGAGGAAAGTCCTGTAGCCGTGTTGGCTAGGTTGCTAACAAAACTGAAGGCATCTGAGAAGACTTCAGCAACTACAGACTCAGCCCAATTTTCCCTGCCCCTCTTGGCCTGTCCGTGTGCTTGCTCAGAGTGGGGAGATGCTGCTTGTGAGCAGTCCTGGCTGGGAGGGGACTGCTCCACTGTTGGTGCTCCCCACTTCTCAGAGACACACAGCACTTCTGGGCTTTGCTCTCTCTTTGCTCTGGTGACCTCAGTGCCATGTTTTATGCTGAAGTATGGTCCAAGAGTCCCCAGGGCAGGTCAGAAATCCCGCTCCACCTTCTTCATTGCCGGCGTTTCTTGTCTGGATGGTTTGATTTTACTTGATGCCTTATGCTCAAATGC